AAACTTCACTTTCGATTTCAATTCCAAAAATTTCGAATCTAGAAATCCATTCATATTCCAAAAATCTTCGGAAATTTCGGAATTTCAGAAATTCCAAATGTCATAGTATTTTTTTGAAAGTTTCGACTTTTTCTGGAAATTCCGTAGATTTTCAGAAAATAGGGATACCGACTTTTATAAAAATCTGTAGTATGAATACTGTTACTGTTTAGTTGATTTGCATTAGCTGATATTGTTTGTATTTTAATACTGTTTAGTTGATTTGCATTTGATGATGTTGTTTGTAGGCAAATGTTGAAGGTGACAGCCAATTCCAAGCATCCAACAATCCTGAAGCTGAAATTCCATTGTCACAAGCTGCTGAGTCAAGTAGAGTTGGCAAGAGGAAAGCATCAAATACTGCCATCAACCACAAAAAAAAAGAAAATACACAAGATATATTTACAAGATCATAGTTATTTTTTGAATATGATGTATATATTTTGAACAGTAGTTTGTCATTATTGTCTTTTAAATATTCAGGGTGATCTACAAGCTGAAGGCCCATCCATCCAAGTTCAAGAAAGCTCATATGTCTAAGTTGATGGCCCCACTGTTCAATGTGATGGCCCCACTGTCCAAGTTTAAGCTCCTTCTAAGGCAACTTCAAAAGCATCTTCAAAGGCAACAACTTCAAAAGCATCTTCCAAGCCACATTCCAAGGCAACAGCTTCCAAGCCACATTCCAAGGTAACAGCTTCCAAGCCACCACCTTCCAAAGCAACAGCTTCCAAGCCACCACCTTCAAAGGCTACAGCTACCAAGCCACCAGCTTCAAAGGAAACAACTTCCAAGCCACCAGCTTCCAAGGCAACAACTTCCAAGGCAACAACTTCCAAGGGAACATCTTCCAAGCCACCACCTTCCAAGGCAGCTAAAACAGCTTCTAAGACATCTTCACAGCCTGTTTGGAAGCCACCTTCCAAGGCAACAACATCAACTTCCAGGGAAACATCTAAACTTGATGATGAATTTGAAGAGAGAATGAGGCTGAGTAGGATTGCTATTGGCAACCCCATGACCACTAAATATGATCATCTTCTTCCCAAGATGAGTGCAGATAAATTCCTTTCTTTGATGAGGTTTTAATGTTGATTATGCATGTTTGAATGATTAAGTATATAATGAGGCTTGTTTTGTTAAGTACTTGATTAGGCATATTTTTGAAAGCCAAAGAGACTTGTTTTGTTATTATTTTGGAAGCTTGTAGTTATTTTGTAGGCCAACTGATGTTATTCTGTTTGTGAACAAGTTTGGATTAGAACATTGTGGTCTTTTTTTGTGTAGTTGGGAATCTGTGTTATATTCTGTTTATGAACCAGTTTGTAAGTCAGTTTGCATTTGAATATTGTGGGTATTTTGTGTACTCGGGAATCTGTGTTTATATTCTGTTAGTGAACAAGTTTGTAAGTCAATTGAATTAGAATATTGTGGTTTTTTTGTGTAGTTGGGAATCTGCATTTATTGAAAATACAAGTTTTTTTTATTGTTACACTAGTGAAATATAAACACAAATGTTTGGCATAACATATAAAATGCAAATATTGCTAGGTTTAAAACAATTAGGCTATGAATTACTCCATTTGCAGGTTCTTCAATTTTCACTGCAGATTCTTTTTTTGCACTAGTTGCTTCACTTTCATCATGAAAGTCCTTCGAAATGTTGTGCGAGCAGTTTTGCTGACCGTCAAACGGGTCACACCAGTGAGAGAAACCGTGCTCGGAACAACAATAAAACAACCTTCCCGGAATTAAACTTGTTTCCGAGATCATGATAGTAGTCTTTTTTCCACAATTCGACCGCTTGCATTTCTGCTTCTTGTAACAAACTCCACTGATTTGAGAACTATTACTTAAGGATGCCATATAATTAAAACAACAAAATGACTTTGATTAAGTTGAGTGGACAAAAAAATTGATATGGTGACACTTATATAAGGGGTGGGGTGAAATGGCTATTTTTTTTATTTTTGTTCAGACATTACAATTACCCCCCTCTGGAATGTTTTCGATTTCAATTAACCCCTCATGGTACAACGGCTATAAAAAACGGTCAGAATTTTTATTTTTATTTTATATTAAAATTTGAATTTTTTTTTATAATTATAAAATTAAACATATTACAATTAGCCCCCTCTGGGGTATATTAGTCTTACAAAAATAACTACCTACTGGGACACGTGTACAGGGGCATATTTGGAATTTGAAAACGAATATTTCATGGAATCTTGTAGATTCCGTTAGTAAGGGGGCCGTAAGGGGGTAACTGTTAGACGGAGCAATACCTCAGGGGGTTATTTGATTCCTAAAACGACAGGGGTTTGTAAGTTATTTGATGATACCTCAGGGGGTCCCTGTAATTTACCCTTTAACTAAAGAGTAACATTTATTGTTGCCTTCAGGTGTATATCTAATTTTTATAAATCAAATATCTTACTGAACCCTACTATTTAGTTAATAGAAGTTAATAGCATTAAGCAAAGGAGGCCTAATAGAATTAGTCACCTTGATAGAGGAAATAAAAAAAACTCCATATGTTACAATTATGATTAATAAATGCAACTTTTGGTCTTCTTTTTTTAATTTGACCCACAAGAGGACAAAATGTATCATATTATATCATCCTAAAAGAAATGGTCTAATTGGTTTTTGTATAAACTTTTACCAAAGTAAAAGTTGATGATTGTAATTCATCCTAGAACCTATTTTTTGTTCGCCAAATAATTAAACTAACTAATCAGATCACTTTAAAATTTAAATACGACAAATATAAAATTATATAAAAAAACTTAATCTCGTAATTATGTAATTCCTCATCTAAAAGTATTTTTTTTATTATTAAATATAATTCATAATTCATATATATGTAAATGTACAAATAGCAGCAATTTCAGTTATCCTAATTAAATTTTGGAAATGAGATATATATTAAATTCAAAATTGGTGGTGAGAATTCGTATGGGCTTGTTATGAAGAATTAAATTTTGGCTCATTATTATGTCTAGTCGTCCCGACGTGGGCTGGGGCCCACTCACTTATTAGCGTTCCTCTTAATTTGCTTAACTAATTAGTCTAAAGCAGGGGTGCAAGTCAGATGGAACGATTATAATCGACATCTTCCGTGAACTTCCAATCTTTTTTGGAAGTAAAAAACTTCACTTTTGATTTCAATTCCAAAAATTTCGAATTTAGAAATTCATTCATATTCCAAAATCTTCGGAAATTTCAGAATTTCAAAAATTCCAAATGTCATAATATTTTTTTGAAAGTTTCGACTTTTTCTGGAAATTCTGTAGATTTTCAAAAAATAGGGATACCGACTTTTATAAAAATCAGTAGTATGAATTTCACCAATGACTCTTTATAAATCTCATAATTATTTTTTCTAAAGTTATCTTTATAATCCACATCAATAGTAGTTAAACTCGCGAGACGGTACGGTTCCAATCAAAACGATACAACTCATAATATGTATCGGCTATGCATAAACACCGTCAGATATCGCGAGATATCGTATCGTATCGCCATATCACGATACAATACGATATTTACGATATTAGTCAACGTATTTATAAAACTTAAAAAAAATTTAAGAAAATTAAAAAAAAATATTAAAAAAAAAGAAAAAAAAAAAAAGAAAACGAAATAATTCACATTATCAGGGCCAGAAAACGAATTTCAATATTATTTAACGTTTTTTACATATATTAGATCCAAGAAATTTACACGTCAAGTTTTATATTGATAAGAGAAAATAGGAAAAGGCCAAAGTTGGAGTTGATGTAGTTGAAGAGAATGATGAACATGAGGACGAAGACACTCGTTTGAAATTAGTGGATGAAAAAAATTTAAGTTACATTGATCTTGAAGATTATGAGTGATAGATTAGTTTTTTACAAATTAGAGATCGAAATTTGAACTTTGTTGATATATTTTTATGAACAGGTATGACTTATGTCTTTTTTATGATAGATTATTTTTTTTAAGAAATTATGAATGAGTGATTTGACTTTAAAATATTAAATTTTACATTTTTATAGTATTTTTATTATGTAGATATATGTATTTTATTATTTTTAATAGTTGGTTAAATATCGTACGATACGATACGATAACGATACAATACGATACACGGAGGAAAACGATACGCCGATATTTTCCGATTCGATAACCATGTCCACATCTATCATTCTATCTCGGATAATAATATAATCGGAATATATATATAACAAAGCATAACATAGAGAAAGAACAAAAATATACTAACCACCAAAATTTTGTATAAATACCACAATTGCTAAGCTTGAAAATAGCAAAATAGATTATATGTTTAATGATTTTTTATTAAGTAAAATACGTAATGTTTATTTTAAATATAGTAAGAAAATAAATGCAAAAGTTTCGATTTTTTTTTTTCAAAAATTAAAATGGATCAGATATCAAATGTAAAAAATTCGACATATATTTTCAATTCCAATCCAAAAATATTCGGCAAAGTTGTACATATAAGTTGTTAACCAAATCATAATGACGTCTTTTCGGATGCGGGGCTTACCCAATATTTTAAAGCGTGCATAATTTCTGACAGCTCCGAATTCCGATGATTGTCAGGTTTCCATTGATTGCTCCGAATCCGATCCAAACTTGAACACTCATAGAAACTCGGCTTGAGCTATTTTACAAAAAAAAAAAAAAAAAAAAACAAAAGCACGTACAAAAATATCAAGCTACTTGAATTTAATTGGGTGACGTTTAGCTCGAGTAAAGCTTGTTTGGACTCGAATCAATTACTTATCAAACCAATCCAAACTCAAACAATAAAAAATCAAACAAATCTGAACAACAACTTTATGTTGTTAATTAGTGAATTAATTGCTTTCTGATTTAGGGTTTAGTTTTTCCATCCAGAAAGCAAAAGTTCCGATTCACATTGTTTTATCAGACGCGGTTCAGAGCTTTCACACTCTCAGTGTAAAAAGCGTGTTTCTTTTGAAATATTTCGTACGGAGTATAATTTGAGTTGAAGTTGAAAAATTAAATAAATTAGGACTGGTAAAAAATAAAAATACACCACATCAATGTAGTGTTTTCACTGTCAATTACGAATAGAATTATAAAAAAACTATTAATTGATGTGCCATCAAAGTATGTGCTTAAGAAGTTGTTTTAAATTGACTTGTGTATTTTAAAGTATATTAAACTAACGTTTTGAAAATCGGATCGGATCGTTTGGTTGAACCGAATAATTCCCGTGAATAATTGCATTGTCCGATCCAGTTTGACCGGTTGAATCGCAATACGGGAATTCGAGTGAAAATTGGATTATTATGCTTAAAATTGTGCTCTGAAAAATAAATAAATAAATGGCCAAAATGACGTCTTTTATTGCCCAATTAAAAAAAATAAATTTAAATCGAAATAAAATGAAATATTTGAAATTGGAAGACATCTTATTTTTTTAATTATAATTTCTATAATATTTGAAAGATTCGGTGTGATATGTGTTGATTTACATTTTAATAGGGAATGAGTAATTAGTTAATGTGTGAGAAAGAAAATGTGATTTGTTTTACTATAAAATTACATATAAATAACTATAAAATAAAATACGAAAAAATCGATTGAATCCCAGTTGAACCTATCTAACAGTGACTCGATAGCTTGTATGGGTCAATGTTTTGTCCGATTTTTAAGAAAATGTATTAAACATTCAAGTATTGGAAAAGATTTCACCACAAAGCAACGTAACAAATCATAAAAAATTAAAAACGAAAAAGAAGAAAACAAAACCAAACACGCATGCACATACACACAAATTGTGGGGTTTTGGTGGATGTTTATCATGCATATTAAGTATTAGTTAATTCTCTTGTTAAAAAAAGAAAAAAGTATTAATAATTCATTTAATTAATTATATTTAACAAAAGCATAATATTTAAACGTGGAATCATGGTGGGAGTAGGGTTAGTGTTAGAGCCTATGTCGGTAGCAAAACGTCAAAGTCGTCAAATATTTAGTACTGTACGAAATTACTTATTTTATTAATAAAATGACACTAGATATTCTTTCTTCAAATCTATGACAAAACATCATCATCAAACATAAAACGGGCAGATATTTCGCCTTAAAATCTTAATCAAAAAGATTAACTTTAATTAATCAATGCCAGATTAATGCACAAATGTTTTAATTTGGTTTCTCTTCCGACACCCAACCCCGAGCTACTGCATCACCACACACGTGTCAAGTGTTTACTGGCCCAATGCCACGTGGACCCCACATCTCTAACAAAGATAAGAACGAGTTGTTTTATTTCTCTCTATAAATAATCTTCCGTATCACTACTCTCACTTCAATTATCACACTAGAAAAACAAAAAAATGGCAGAAGCACCAATTACAATTTCGTCTGCCCTCATCTTCTTCTACGCTCTTAGTTTAGTTGCTTCCGCCGCCGCCGCCGCCGTGGCGGCCAACCCCGCCGCAAGTTTCATCAGATCATCTTGCAGGGCCACCACATACCCCGCCGTCTGCGTCCAGTCTCTGTCCCCACACGCCACCACAATTCAAAAAAGCCCCGGACAACTAGTGACGACAGCTTTGACCGTCAGCGTTGACCGGGCCCGTTCCGCGAAGGTATTCGTGGCGAATCTGGCCAAGTTCCGCGGGCTGAAGCCGAGGGAGCGGGCCGCGCTCAAGGACTGCTTGGAGGAGGTGACGGACAGCGTGGACCGGCTGAGCAAGTCGATCCAGGAGCTGAAGAATATGGGTCGGGCCAGAGGACCCGACTACGTTTGGCACATGAGCAACTTGCAGACGTGGGTCAGCGCTGCGTTGACTGATGACAGCACGTGCATGGACGGGTTTGCGGGCCGGGTCATGGAGGGGCGGGTCAAGACCTCTATTCGGGCCCGTATGACTAACGTGGCTCAGGTGACCAGTAATGCGCTGGCACTTTGCAACAAGTTTGCCGGAAAGTACTGATGACTCATCATATCTTGTAATATATATATATAAATATATATATGGTAATTTTTAAAAATGTTTTTAATTAGTCCAGGGTTTTGAGTGTTTGTTGCTCTTTTTTTTTTTTTTTTTTTTCCTTTTTGGAGATGTGTAATTTATAATTATAATGTGGTTACAACTTAGTTATATGTATACGTGAAAATTAAATAGAATGGGAGTACTTGTTGTTCGTCTTAAGAAATCATATCGCCTTCCAATTTCTAATTAAACAATAGCTCATAATATATATTAATAATTTTATAAAATCAATTTTAAAAAAATGAGATAGGTCCATGTATAGATAAAATATCAAATTAAAATGAAGCACAACATTTATATATTGTTTAAAATGCCAAATTAGTTATTCTCGTGCTCTCACATGTTAGTGCTCCAAATTATTAATAGTTTTATCGAGTGAAATTGAGCTTTGAAGTATTTCTATATATATATCGTCGGCGCACACTGAGGTTGATAGTGTCACTAAGCTTAGAGGTGTAAATGAACTGAGCTGATTCGGCGGAAGTTCGAATTTCTCAAGATCGAGTTCATCTTTAATTAGTCGTTCATGAGCTCATGAATAGGTTCACAAACTTTATATATCATGTAAAAGTTATTAAAGAAAAATATAAAATATAACATAAGCTGAGTTCGAGTTTATCAAATGAAAACTCGATGAGTTTGAGGTCCAGCTCGAGTCACTTTGAGAAATCCGACGAGTTCGACGAGAGGCCGACTCATTTACACCGGTTGTGTCACTCAAGAAATATAATTAAACACAAGAATAGAGGTTTACAAGAAATAACGTGAAGCCAATACCCCACATCGCCGACATATTTGTAACTAACTTAATTATCACAATCACAATCACAATATAGTATCACTAAATAATTAGTATAACTTTATAATTATTTAGTTGAATAACATCAATTTAGATGATGAGATTATAATATGGAATGTCATTTAGAAAATAACATAAAATGGGAGAATAATTAAAATAGCAAAGATATTTTCCAACAAAGAAAAGGAAAAGTCAGTCAAAAGTCAAAACACACACACAACACACAGTGTGGGGAGCATGTGAATTACTGACAGAAATGAATGACCGGCACCACCACCGTCATTTACTATTTCTTTTGGGAAGTCCAACATATCACATCACAGTTATTGCTTTTTATAGACCCCTTTTATTTCAAGAAAATTATTTCCTAATTTATCTTTTTAGTAATGATTTCTCAATTATTTAGATATCCACTAATATTTATAAAGATAATTAAATTAGAAACAATAAGGGTAAAATTAAAAAAATAGTAATTAATATCTCTCTGAATTTTATTTAATGAAGAATTCTCCTGTTCCTCAAGGTTGGTTCTGACTATAGGTGGGAGAGGCGGTCGCCTCGGCCCTCGATTTTTTGAAAACATTAGGTGCCTCCAAATAATATTTTCTACTCTATACATATACAAGTTATAATATTAAATGATATTTAAAATTTATAATTGGTTAAACAATTTGAATAACCCTAACTATATTATTTTACATAACTTAAGTATTTGTTGGAAACTTTTATACTTATTCTAGTATTTGATGTAAACTAAATGTTTTAGATCAATTACAATTAGTAAGATGCTGAGTTCTTCAATCAAATTTTTATAACTTTTTTTTTCCAGCAATCTTTGCATTATTTAAAAACTCCAAACACTTTTGGCAAGGTGAAACATACTAAATTTTTTTTATTATATTTAAACAAAAATAAATATATTTACTTGTTCAATAATATTTTTATAGTATTTTAAAAAATACTCGGGTTCTATCCCGAACCCCATAAAAATTTCATTTACCTTAACTGCATCAATATTTTAGTCATATTTTTACCAAAACTCATAACTGCAAATCAAAAAATCTTATCCAGTCGTACATGCTCGTTAGAATGAATTAAATACACATAGAGCCCATTGTTTACAAATTCTTAAAATTCGCCTACAGTTCCCAATTTCTCAAGAACGGCCCTGCCTATTAGTAATTAATTTTTAATTCGAAACGATATGATCATGAGTATTACTTTCATATACGTAGCACATATTTATACATGTACCAATTATATTTTGTGTATAATAGTATTTAATTTACTATAGGTATTTTGTATATACCAATGATTGTGTGTAGAAGTGAATATAAAGTTGACAATAAACATTTACAATAATTATAACAATTAAAAAAAAAAATCATTTACGATGACTTTGGAAGATTTCCAGTCGACACAATGGGCCCACGGTGAGGTGGATATATTGAATTCGGGTGGACGTTGCTGATTAATGTACGGAGTACGGCAGTGCCGACTTATAATCTGTAAGTTTGCACGGCGGATGTGACGTCATCATATACGATATTCTCACCGGAAAACAGTGTTGTGGCACCAAAAGTCCCAACTGCCGTCCTTGGATGAATAGTTATTTATTTATTTATTTATTTATTAGTTCATAACTTCATTTGACATATATATGAGGACACATAAACTACAGAAAGACTCAACCCTAAGGGCATATCTCCGACTCAGTCATTATATCGCCATTTTTTCATCTAATTTAGGTGTTTTTAGTCTCCCACCTGAAATTTTTATATCACAATTATACCTAAAATTATGGAGATTTGGTTTTAGCCTCCCACCGTGGTCAACCCCCATATCACCATATGCTCATCCAATTTTATCACCAATTTTTTTGGTGAAGAAATTTTCATCTCCCACCGGTCCACTATTTCCTATTTTGATTTATAATATTTATATTATAAATCAACTTGTAATCAACAAATACAGATAAAAAATATACATTCACATGCATATATTACTATATGTTACTATATATGAATGTAGGAATATAATTATATATATGTAGTTATGTGCAGTATGTAGTAGACTATAGCTCGAAATATTGATTTCAAATTTGTTAAATTCGTCTATAGTTTCAACCAATTTTTGGGCACATTTAAGGAGAAGATCACTAGCTTTCATTAAGCTACAATTTCAAAAAAAAAAAAAAAAACTAATAAAATAAAAAAATAGTTAGCTATTTTATTTGAAGAGACAAGAACATTGAATATAGTGTTGTTTTATTACTTATTACTATTAAATAATAGTGCCAGTTTACAAAAAATGACGAACTTCACAACGCTCAAAATAAACGTAATTTAAGAGAGAGAACGAGAGAGGCCATAATTGCGAATGCTATGAGATTTTAGACCAAGTCGCAAAGTACTTATCACACCAAGCGCTTCCTGACAAAACTCTAGCCGCCGCCGACAACTCAAGATTTTGTGCGGGCCATAGTTGGACAATCAAAATTGAACGAAATTACCATCCAAATAGACACGGTCATGGGCCGGTTCGGGCCGGTTCACTCTGGTTCGCGGTTCACTTTCTTCGGAACCGGAACCGACCCGTACTACACACGATTCGGCGGCCCGGGCGGCCCGCCGGTTCCCGGCCTATCCGGGCCGGTTCCGGGTTGGCCTATATATATATATATATATATATATATATATATATATATATATATATATATATATGAAAATACTTGATGGATAAATAAATTAAAAGAATTGCTTTTAAATATGAAAAAAACAAAAGAAAAATAAATAAAATGACTTGAACTTAATTTTATAGGAAAAAAGGGGTGTGAGGATATTTATCGAAAAAAATGGGGGGAATTTTTTTTCAAAAAATAGCAAATAACGGCCGGTTCACTGGGGCGGATCAGCTTTTTCAGCTTTTTAAATTTTTTTTTTATATTTCGGGTGAACCGTTGGGCTGACCCGACGATTCACCTATTTCTATAACCGGGCCCGGCCCGAGGAACACGGGCCGGCTCACGGTTCCGGGACTGGTTCCCTGGTTAACGGGCCTGCCCGATTCGTCAACGGACCGATTCCGGGCCAAAAACCAGCTCATGGTCGTGTCTACATCCAAAAATAGATCTCGATGAGAGAAATTTAACGATGGGTAGCCCGTCAAATTCATGCTACCGAAAAACTAATTACCCCAACAAGAAGACTCGCCATCTTTAAAATACATATATACGGTAAAGCAATTGCCGAAATAGATCCAAAGCTCAAAATCGTATCAAATCACCATAAGATCTCGAAGAGAGGGATCCAAAACTGTAGTTAAAAGAATAATATTTACTCCTAATGTTTTAAGCTTTAACACGATTAACAATAGTATTTAAAAGGATGAAGACATTTATACCCTTCAAATAAAATTGTATAATATACTGCATCAAAAAATATTTCATACCCTTAAATAGCATGAACGACTTGCCGTGAGCCCATTTCTAATCAATAAAGCCCGATCTATATGAAAAATATGGCCCAAATTAAAATTAAATAAATCGTTGGTCTTATATATGCAAATCTATCAACAATATTACATACACTGTCTAGTGTCTAGTGATTTTCTAGCAAGACTATAACAATTCATATTATAATTTGGAAAAATAAAATGAAATTTCAGACTAAAAAACAAGTGAAAATACTTGTAACCTCGAATTTCATTTTTTCTTCTATTTTTCGTATGACTTTTTGGTGGAAAATAAACTGTGATCAACTGATCATAAAGAATAATTTTATGGTCCTAAATTTGGTGTACGATAGTTATTTTTATTTAAATCCACTTATAAGTACATTTGAAATATTTTACATATATAAACTAAACAATATAATATATTATGCAAACACATCGAGTACTTATAAATCAAAAGAGTATTTGACTAAGCTTAAAAGTTCTTAAAAATAACTTATAAGATGTTTAACATCTTGTAAGCACTTCCAAAATATCGGTTAACCTTCTATTTTTTTTATCTTAAATTAAAACTCAAAAAATAAGTTCCTTGAGGTCCGCTTGTAAGATCATTTGTAAAGAGTACATATTCCTCATATTTTCATTTAAGATCACAAAGACAATAAAATTAACTCGTAAGCATATTATTCAAACACTTCCAAAATTAATTTTAAAGATAAAGAATAACAACTTATCATCTCCTAGAACAAGTTATCGAATATCAGAGTTTATTATTTGTTAAAAATAATCTTAGCCTAATGAGCTCTAATTTCTTAATTTCTGGTATGTGACTATTACTCTCTCTATATTTAACAATCCAATTTAAAATTAATACATAAATAACTATGCATTACATATTTTCTTTTGCAAATTATTTTACACTTGACGAATGCAATTTCCAGTGGGAAAAGAATTTCAGAATGTTGAATTTTAGCAAGTTGTAGAAAAAGAAGTATAATATTAATAACAGCAAAATAAACTGATTTTTCTAGCTGCAAATATTTTACACTTGGAATCATGACTTACATTAAAGTCTAGATCTTGAACAATGCGATCAAACCCCTCTTTTCGGGTACTAATTGTTCCGAAGATGTTAAAATCTATTGATAATTAATTATGTGGAAATGTTCGATAATCGAGACTAGCGAAATTTTATTAATATAGTGAAATATTAAATTAATGAACTAATAGTTAAGTATGTTTACACCGAGTCGGGATTCAAAATATTTATTATTTAAACGAGATTATTAATTTATCGAGTATTAAATTATTGTTTTTTTTTCCAGTTATTTTTCTTGGATTCTAGATCCATATTCTTCCCAAAAACAATATGTTCTCTATTTTTTAATAATAATCGAGACAAGTTGAAATTAATTTATTAAGTTTCAGATTAAGTCATTACAGCCACATTAAGGTACACACATACATGATACATATCACCAATTTATTCTTCAGTACTAGATCCAAATCACTCAGAAAATATTAAGTTATTTTATTCCTCAAGAGATTTGTCTAACTAACTGAGATAATTATGGTTACCTTCCTTGTGATTTCGTCTAATTACAAAAAGAATCCTCACCCTTAGAAAATTACAACTACACCCCTCAAACTACCACTAAAACACACACATCTTAAAAATAATTTTACATTACCTCTACAAAATTGAAGAAAACAAACCATGTATGATCACAAATATCTCCTACTTAATTAATAAATAAACTATAGGGTGGGTAAATTACGGTCACCCTGATCCAAGATCAAATTACGAGAAAACCCATCTTTGTTTGAGTAATTTCAACCATCCCCTCAACTATGAATCGTCTTACACACGTTTATCCTTATGGTGTCAAATTCAACAAAATCTTCTAAGTTCCATGAAATTATCTCTAGTTTTTACTCATTTTGTGCAAAAATGCAATTTTTGATGCACCACAACCTGATATTTACAAGTCAAGAGACACATCTTATGATCATCTTGTTTCAGAATGTGGAGCTCGAATGGGGTAACACGGGTACAAATTGAAGAATATTCCACATAATCTAGAAGATTCCACTAAGTTTGACACTACAAGGGTGGACAAGATTCCACTAAGTTTACACTACAAGGGTGAACATGTAAGAAGATTCATAGTTAAGAGGTGGCCGTAATTACCCAAACATGAGGGTTTTTTTTTTTTTTTTGGTTGTAATATAACCTTTTCTCAGGGTGTGGCTGTAATTTACCCTAAATTATATTTACCCCCAAAGCATGTCATGTTATAACACCTTCCCTAATTATTGTTTTTAAATTTCAGAGAATATATATATAATCATTTCAAAGTGTCATGTTAATATTTCCAATGAAGAAAATATGCATAATTAGTGGCAATATTTGATATGTAAGAAAATATGTATATATAATGAAGAAAATATTAAAAAACAGATTGATTCGACACAAGACAAAGTGCCATAACTTAGGTTCTTATTGTAACAAGATGATTTAATTAGATTTGAGGAAAATAACTTTGAATTTCATATTATGGATATGGGATAGTATTATATCTAAAAACAAACAACAATTAATTATTTATGTATAAATAATTAGGGTTCAGTAAAGGCGATTAATAAGTGACAAGGCATTGCTAATGAGTTTCTCCACACCAACAACACAGCTCCTAATCTTCTTCCTCACAACCGGGTTCACCTTCCGGCCCAAGAACCCGTCCACGCACGTCTCCGCGTCGGTTATCGCTGCGCTGGCGTACGTCTTCGCATTCGCCCACTGGAAATCCCTGTCGGCGCCCTTCCCCAGACGGCCCATTGCGGCCACCGTCTGCTTCAGCTCGTACACTGCATCCTTCAGATCGCTTATGCACTCCTTAATCGCGCGCGCCTCCGGCCTCGCAATCCCCTTTTGTGTCGACGATAGCTTCGACACGGCCGCGGAGCAGTTTCCGGCCGCCTTTATGGCGGCCGAAAGGGCCGCGTTGCATAGCTTGAAGCGGCTGGTCCCCACCGAGGGGGCGTAGGGGGTTAGGGTTTTGATGCAGAGGGATGGATACGTCGTCGTATTGCATGATTTTTTTATGAAGGCCCGCGATGCCGACAACGACACTTTTTTGGAAGCTGCAGAAGTGTGACGGGCGAGCGACGTCAGCGTTAGAAATACGGTGAGGATTATGAGAAAATGTTTAGTACAAGAAGAGATTATTTGTGCAGCCATATTCAATTTTAGTGTGTGTGTGTGTGTGTGTGTGTGTGTGTGTGTGTGTGTGTGTGTGTGTGTGTGTGTGTGTGTGTGTGTGTGTGTGTGTGTGTGTGTGTGTTTATGAAAAATTAACTTGTGATGGGTTTTTTTGATATGGTGAGATTTGAGATTTGAGGAATTTAAGAGGGGTTTTTATAAAGGTCTGAAAATGTCAGGTGATTTTATTGATTGAATTATTATAATTTAAACTATATGTTAAAATATGGAGGGGAGGCACATGCAAATGCAATTAGATGTGAATACATTTATTAATTAATATTATATAAAAATTCTGTTGCAGTCACATGATAAGGGGTTTGAGTTATTTCTAGATCGTGAGTTTTGCTTTGCTTCTAATGTGAAATCTAGGTGTTATTATTATAATTCAATTTAATTTATGTAGGTCAAGCAAATTAAAAGGGGGGTGTATTGCTTCTAAAATGAACTCCATGAAATAGGACCATTATTGCTTAATTATTTTATGCAATTCGATCTTATCTAAGCAATGTTGTATTTACTATTTAATATTGGTACTTGCTTTTTACAGTTTGATCTCATTTTCTTTGTCGGTAATGAAGGAACTTGCAGCTCTAACTATATAAGTGCATTGAGTTAATCTACACTCTTGTATAATAGCTTCCAAATTATATGAGAGACATCAGCCGTTTTAGACTAACCATGTGTGACAAGCTCGACATAATGACCTTTGGCAAGATGATTTGAACTTGGGTCAATTGATAAGGATGCACTTGCTTCAACCGCTAGACCATTTCTTGAATCTCAGATGTTTTTTTTTTTTTGGTAATGAAGGAACCTACACTTTCGTATAATAGCTTGCAAACAATACGAGAGACGTAAACCGCTCTAGGTTAACCACGTGCGACAAACTCCACCTAGTGACCATTGACAATGAAATTTAAACGTGGATAAATTGACACATAAACACTTGCTCCAACCGCTAGGCCATCCTTGCGGGATTGATCTCATATTATTGTATACATGACATGTGGATGAGTAATGATATATTATTCAGTAATTTTACTTTTTATAAACATAAAATCCAATATAAATTAGATTGCATTGGAGGATCGGCTCACGAGTCTTCTATTTCTTTTTAAATTTTATACATGATCGAGATTACTAATTTCAAAATAAAAAATATTTGAGCTCGAATTTTACTATTGTGATTCGAGTTGAATCTTAAACTCGTGAAAACTGGCTTGAGCGGAAAGAATTTAATAAAAGAAATGGAAAAATATCGTCTAACTGCATGTAACCCCAAAATTTAAGAGTGAAATTGAATTTTAAATAATTAAGGGTGCAAAGTGTATTAATCCAATCATAGTTTGAATTGAAGGAAAATGAAACGGTAATAATATACGCAGGCCAAATTAAACATTCAGGCATTTTTTTACCATGATTTTTTACCTTTTTACCATAACTATTTACCTTTTGTACTATTCCTACCCAATCCTATAAAATATAAAACTCAACATTCAAAGTGAAAAAATTTCAGATATTCAACAATTTTTGCGATGGATCCAAACAACTTAGACACGAATGTAAGTTTTTCGTTTTTTCCCACAACCTTATCTGCTCGTGTGAATTTACGCGAGCACTTGGCAAGTGCTCGTGTAAATTCACACGAGGAGATGAATTTTTTTTTTATTCCATGTGCTCGTGTGAATTTACACGAGCACTTGCCAAGTGCTCGCGTA